TAATGAAAAAGTAATAATTAAGAAAAATGGTCTGTAAAAGTCAGAAAATTGAAAATATTACAATACCATCATGAAAGTCACTTAAAATGCGCCGTTTGACCCTTAAACCTGAATAAAACTCAGTTCCGAATATACCGTTCGAAAGAGCGTGAGAAACTATACCAGAAAGAATTGCTAAACGAGAACGCAGACCATTCTCTCCGCTCATTTTAATTGACTTTCTAATTGCACAATTCATCATGTTTACGTGACATCTATTCTATTTCATATTGCTTTGCCTCGCGGTCTTTTGACATAATACGATTAAAGTTGACAAAATTCTGCCCAAAATGAGCTATTTTTCGGGTTAAATACTTAAAAATCAGTTGAGTTATACATACTATTTTTATCACGTTTCAAAGAATTTCCCTTATTCTGTGGATAATAAAAGACAAAGCATGTCATTTTTTTTTTTGACAAGTGATGACATAAATATAGTAGAGTGATGCTAATTAGCATTCATTAGTATTGAATAATTATAAAATTAGTGCCTTAAAAAAGCTTTTTTACATTTTTTTTTCTTGAGATTACTACAACAGATCATTGGCTATCACGTAATGCAAGAATGACATTTCCACGATTATTTTTAATGGACTTGGTTAAACCGAGCTACAAGCTTTGCAGAATGGGGACTAGCAATCCAAAGTCTAATTAAAATTTAAACTTAATTAATTAATAACTCTGCGAATACTTACCAGTTCAACGAAAGAACTTAAGGATATATGTAGTCAGGTGTCCTTTTTAAACTGACAAAGTTTGAAGGTACATTTAGAGGATGTGGTGGAGCCCCCACTTAAGGCGGACGGACATTTAGTAAAAAGTGAGGTTTTTGTCAAATTCAATAGAGCCTATCTTTTACTCTCGTAGAACTTTTCCTATAGTAAATTTCACTCACAACTAATCAGAATGCACAAATTATGTCGCGCCATGTACAGAGCTCAATCCTTCTCCACTCATCAAATATGAAGTTAACGGAAGAATCTCGTAAAAAAATGTGTTTAGAATCACGTTGGACGATAATGATAGTTATATGTGGTGAATTGTTTTTATTTTCTCTAATAGTAATCGGTACGTTAGTTATCTATTATAAATTTGCTCAACCAGCAAAAAACGATGTAATACAAGAGATTGCTGATTCACTGGACGAAACGCGATCCATTTCCGTTCAACGTTCATCACTAAAAGCACGACCAGAAAATTTTGGCATTCCAGTTGATGAAGTTATCGATTCAATATGCGTTCACTCACAACAATTATCTCTGCAACAACAACAATTCTGGAACGTGTGAAAGATACTTTTAGAAAAGTTCTTTGTCAATAAAATATAATTACATCAGATCTGACATACTACGAGTCGATGCTTAGTTCAAGACTTAGTGTTCTTCAATATATGAAGAGATTTGATTTCTCTTAATAAGTTTATCGATATTAAACTATTCATTGCCACTTGAGCAGATGTCGCTCCTGAGAAATCTTAATAAAAAACAACCAGATTCTTCCTTTTTCATGATTCTCTGTAAACTTAATAACCCAAAGAGTTTGCAATAACTTCTCCGACGACGATAGCTACATACATACATACGATAAAATGCGTGTACCAACGAACATTTTTATTCCTATAAAAAAAAACATTCGAATAAGTGATTAAACGGCAGAAATGAAGGCCACAGAGAGAAAAAAAGGACTGAGAACGCTGCAAATATATATATACTTGATTTTGATCTTCATAAATCGAGCACCAAGAAATTGTCAATGGCTTACTGGCTGAATTTTATTTTTCGTCGTTTCTTTTATTAGACAACATTGTAAAAACCGGTTGATATTTTTTATTCTACTATACATATCAATTTGTTTATTAATCAATCGGAAACACATCAAATCTTTACCGCTCGAAAACTGAATAAGATTTTTGATATTCCTTCTTTCTGCTTAACAGGTCCAGCTACAACCTTGCAACAAACCAAATCAAAAACTCAAATATCTAAAAAGTGAGAGAAAAAGTATAAAATGCATACAATTTTAGGGATTAAAAGTTTCATTTTTCATCCATTAGACGCTTTTGAGATGATTCTTATAAATCGATGCAGAAAGACTTCTATTAGTTTGAAACTAGAACATTATAAAAGTTTCGACCGTTTTTTACCCAATAACCTTATAGGTTCATCATTGAATGATGAACATTTTTCTTTACAATCGATGTTTTTATGTTTTTCAGTATTATACCATTTATTTTTCTGAATAATCTATTATTATCAACAAACATTGTAAATAGAAGAATTTATAACTTTCATCTGGTCTATGATTTTGCACCAGGTATAAAAAAAAAACCAACTGTTATTCGTTACATCGCTTAATTATTCAAAGTATAAGGATATAAATGCTGCTACTAAAAGATTTTTCCTTTTCTTTTTCTCATTCGGTTCGATACTCTTTCCAACGTCGAGCGAATGTAAAAAAAATATCAAAAGAGAAGTGCCGTAAGTAGCAATTTGTATTGTCCTTTCAACATCTTTTTACAGAAAAATATTGCTGATTTCGTCTAGATACTAAATATTTTCAGAGAAAGGGCAGAACAGGTATTCTTACAGTCGTACGACGTGAAACTAGTTTTTTTTTAATCATTTATTTGTGTGACAAATACAAGTATAAACTATGTAAGGTGAATGTTCTTCCTTTTCTGGCATCGCAAACAAGATATAACAGTTCTCTCTTTATTTTAAAGAATACTTCCCTCACTTTTTACACTTTAATTCGTACGATTGAAACTGGCTATAATTTCTTTATTTCTAAAAATGATTCATGTATGTTCCTAGTTTATGATGCCGAAAAACATATCATCAACACTAAATGTTTTTGTCCACGTCTTTAATCGTCTAAAAAATTGCACGAGCATCAACAAAATATCAATAGATATTCTCTTTGTTTTCACAGACGGCACATCATTCAAACATTTCTTGTTGACATGACATGTGACGCAAGTCCGTTTGACGCTGTAATAGAAAGCTTTGATAATTTTTCTGCAACTTCTAAAAATAAAAAACTTTCTAATATGAATTTTATAGAAAAAAAAGTTTAACGCAATATTATCATATTCTCATAAGCTTCTTATAACAGTTTTATAAACACAGTGCACATTTCTCGCAACTAACATATAATGACTCGTTCAGCTCTGCTCATCTTCGTTACAAGAGTGATAGCGGCACAAGTTAGTTTTTATTAACAACACCGTTTAAAATAGAAGTAAGATGCTGGCAAAAGATGTTCAAAATCTTGTATGAAATGTTTCTTCTATATTTTCTGTTAAGATAGAACCTCTATAGCCACAATAATTTAAGAATTGCGAAAGATTCAGCACGATCTTGAGACATTCTTGTCACGAAGATCTTGCGCTTTCTGGAGGAAAGACTTTCATTAAAGGATACTATACTTGAAAGTAACAGGATTTCTCGAATACCACATACCTCAAGTCTCTTCGAAACTACAAAACGTCGAAAGTTAACGAATCGTCTCCTTTCATACATAACTGGGGAACTGGACTGATGTTTACCTTTTTATATTTCTCTACCCTTGCCAATGAAAGCTTTTCTAAGAGTGCATGATGAATGTCATTAGACACATTATTGTGTTTGAAGTACGATAGATAAAAAAACCGTTATTATCTACATTACATCGGTCAATCGCATTCTACAGTGGTTGAGAGAAGGAAAAAAGGATGTATTAACATATTGTAGACTGTGTACATCTTGTTAAACTCTGACAACAACTATAGACATACACGTTAATTTACACATTATACACGATAATGCTTCTCGATTTACCATGTTTTTTTTTCTTTTTTTTCCTCTATATCGAGAAATCAATCACACTTTTAATGAAGTTTTTTCTCTCCACTCTTCTTCCATTCCAAACTAGTTAGAATATGAGCATAAATTCATTCAGTCGAGATTCTTCTTCGTCAACACTTTTCTGTGTAATTCTTTCCTCTGTATACATGTAACATCATACTATGTATAGGCATAGAAGAATAAATTTTAAATTCTAACATTAACAATATCTCTACAAACATAAAACTTTGTGGTACGATAGGAGAGAGAGAGAAAAAAGCACGAGAATATCGACGATTTTCTTAAAGTATACTAAGATACACAGTGTATGGTATGTATGATTCGATCTGCCTGATTCTCACACATACGTTAAGATTTAAATTTTAGTTCCTTTCTCTTTTTAGTCGAATTTTTTTGTATAGTATATTGTTGTATGTTCATTGAATAATAGATATCGACAACAGAAAAACGTGACACGCGCAGTGGCTCAATTTATGCGTTCCCTCTATCATTTTTCTCTTATTTTCTCTTTTTTTTTCCAGAACAAGACACATCAGAAGACAGTCACACAATATACATACATACAATCTTCGTAGTCGTCATTTATCGATCATTTTCGTTTAGTAAATCGGTATATCTTCATCAAACCATAAACTTTTATTTTAATAACATTTTATAATCCAACAAAATGCGTGCGCACAAACTTCTGTTTTTAATATTTTTGGTATTTTATTTGATCGCCGGATTAGCATTATTAATTACGGGTAGTGTAGCTCACTCACATGCTAAACAATATGCTGAAATAACTGGTTATTCGTTGATGAGTGGAGCAGGTACAGTTATTTAGAATTTAATTTCTTTTGAGTACATAATTTGTTTCTTACAAGAATTCATTCACCCTTTGCTTTTGTAGGTTTTATTATTGCTCTTGGAGTTATTATTCTCATATTATGTATTTTGGGTTTCATTGGCGCATGGAAAAATCATTTAAATTTATTAAAGGGTTCGTATTATGAGTCTTTCTTTTTTTTCTCCTGCGGAACTCATACAATGATGTTTCATATTGGTTGATGACGGGTTATGCCTAAGCTTGCTTAGCTTATATAATCTATAAGTAGTAACAGTATAGCTGACTGTTTTGATTTCATTTGGCATATGTACATTGTGCTAGAATTCGATTTAAAAAATAGCATACAGCTTTTCGAATGTCGATTAAGGAAAGGAGCCAAATTTCTTCTCTTGTAGGGTCAAAAACGTGGACGATATGTCTTCTTGCAATATAATATGAAATACTATGTATTTTGTCAGGTAGCCTTCATGATTAGCGATGTTTTTAACGCGAAAATTAGAAGTCATTTTTTCCTGTTCTTGAATACAAATTCATCTTGTGTAATGCTATAAGACAAAGTTAATGTCATATTCAGCCGTTAAATGTCTACCACTGGTAATTTACATAATGTATTTCTCATCAAAAATTTATTTCCAACTGTTAATGTTAGTATGAAATCCTTAAAAATAAGGGCTGTAAGCGTCATTTCTTGAAGAAATCCCTATAGAGTACTTTGCTAATCAAATGTGCCTATCTGTTTTCAAAAGGTTTTTTGATGAATATGGTGGAACGAATGAACTTTTACTCAACTTTTTGAGTTCAGTGTTTTATATCACCTAATCGTAAAAGATTTTTCTCTTTTATAGCATTTATTGTTTCATTGGGTATTATTTTATTACTTCAATTAATCGCCGCTATTATTGCATTTACCTTACGTAATAAAGCTGATGAACGATTACGAGGACAATTACTTAGTAGTATGATAAATTATAGAACTGATGGAAATAGTCGTGCAAGAACAGAATGGAATCGTGTTCAAACTACTTATGAATGTTGTGGTGTTGATAGTTGGCAAGATTGGAAAAATCACACAGACATCGGAATGCCACCAAAATCATGTTGTAAGAATAATGATTGCACTGCTCCACCTCAATATTATGACCGGGGTTGTTATGAGGCAGCCAGAAGTTTATTCTATCGTTACAGTAAAGCGTTAGGTGGTGTCACAATATTTTTCTTTTTTATCGAAATTATTGGTCTTGCATTAGCCGTTCTGTTATTAAGAGATCTAAAAAATAATTATGGATCAGTTTAAATGACAACAATTATGATAATTCTGCTGAACATTACACACTAGTCCTATGACGATCTGACTGACATTCATATAGAGATCTGAAATATTGCAAATTTAATAGAATGCCTTATTTGTGTTCGTGTGTATACATACGTAAATATGCTTTATTTGGATTTTACTATCGTAATTCGATTTGTTGCTTTTGTTGTATTACTCTCATGGTGTGTTCGCATTACTCTATCATTTTTATTTGTTGATGTTTGGTGTGCTATTCTCTTACATTAAAATTTATAGGAAATAATTGCTTGATAGAGAGATCGTGGGCAGAATGAATAACGATGGAAAATATCAAGGATGAAAGAAGATAGGCAACTATCAAAAATATGGTCGTAAAATAAAAAGAGAAGAGGAATGTTCAAAGAACGATAAAGTTTAAAAAATGACAGTTATTAATGGCAAACTAAATACTTGCCTAATCAATTAAAATTGAGAATTGAAAAAATAGCAAAAGACAAGAATAGACTGGCAATATTAACATAAAAATTGACTTTTAAGTCGCTCAATGATCGTATTCATAGTTAATTATTCTGTTTTGAATGTTGTATTACAGGTTTGATTTCAAGATTCGGGTGCTCATTTAAACCTCAAAAAAATTTAGTTTGTTTAACTCGTTCAACAGAAAAAGCTCATCATCATGTGTATGAAAGATAGATTTCTTTGCAGCCTTTCAGCAAATGAAAATTACGCACCCTCGGTACTGTATCATAGAATGTTTGAGCCTTTCTAATCTTTTCGAACCAGCAAACGAAGTGTATTTCAAGCGGAAACATATGAGAGAAACGTAACTTTCTAGTACAATCACTTGTTTAGATATGTTTCTATAATAACTCAGGTTACAAGAGGCTCGCTTGAGGAAATTTTTTCCTGTGCTTTGCCTAGTACTTTGCCCAATTTCACAAAAATTTTCTACTCGATACGTCCTTTCGTTGCAAAGTTATGAGACTCGAAAGTTGAAAAAACTTTATTTTCTGATGAGTCATCATCTGAAAACTGAATTTTTGATTATATAAAGGGATATAAAAAGAAAAGGAAAGCAGCGCATCCTGTAGAGAATTGAATTGTGAATCTAACCATATGATTAGTGTTCAACTTTGTTTACTTTTTTGTGTTGTTCTTTAGATATAATCATTTTACAAGCGTCTTTTCCGTTTTTTGTAGACCGACCTTCTCTTAGAGTTTTTCCCAAAAGTCCGCCACTGAAGAAATATTTGGAGTGGCTAAATTGTAGATCAGACGTCGGTCTACAACTCTATTTAAAAAAAAATCCAGTTTGCATGATTTGGTAGAGATAAAAACAGCTTTCATTCTTGCGGAAGTCAATTTCCGCTCTAAATGTAGACTGACTTTTTGCAACTTGTTTTGCTCAGAGCTAATGAAGCATGCATTCGTTCTCGATGAAACTTCTATACTAGATAGAGCATCAAAAGTTGTACTAGCAAAAGTAATTTCAGATCGAATCCTCATTTTGTTCCTTACTATTTTTACATTATAGGGGAAAATGTAGACCGAGGTTTTCTTTTTAACTAAATGTAGACCAACCTTTTTTCGTGAGATTTTTAGTCAAAGCTAAACGAAAACCATCGATACCGTACACCAGTCGACTCCTCGGACTGCGGTGAGTTTGACTACCTAATTTTTGGAGCTCTAAAATCTATAGTCTTTGCTAAAATAATGGATAATTCTGAAAGTAGAATCACATAACGAAATTGGGACTTTTTAGATTTTAACACTAAAGAATGAAAAAACTTTTCTGCGGTTTTTCGGCTTGACGCATTTTCTCACAGTCCCACTGTACTGCTGGAATCATTCTCTGTCGAACGATGTAGAATACATCTATTTCAACCCTTTTTCTAGCAAAATCCTGCCAAAAATTCTCTATGGCAAAAACTGAAAATTGTCTCCCTCCTAACTCAGCCAGTATGAGTCTGGCAGCTGAGAAATTTTTATAGGATACTCGGCAAAGACAGGGAAACAAAATGTACCATTCAAATTTTTTTTATGAACACTTTCATTTTTTTTTATCGATTGTACCAGAAAGTTACGTTTCTCTCATATATATTGTTTATGAGCGTAGGCTCTATTTCTTCAAGAGACTATATCATACTTGTCCGAAGTAACGCAGTTCTCATTCATTTCATTATAGTATATTTTGGATGGTTGAAATATCATAAAATCCCTGGACTTTCTCCCGTTGTACTCTGATTGTACAATGGGATTGTTTAGTTTTAGTAGTCTATTGGTAAGATTGGAAAACAAGTACAACAGAAGAGAATGATCTATAATTTCAATTTATCCAGGAATAATATTCTTCAAGAAAACAAACGACACGTATCAAAAATAAAAATCTATCAGCAGCATAAGAATATTAATTTTAACAGAAAAACAAACAATAAATCTAAATCTAAATTTTTGAAAATATCTGAACAACTAAATGAGTAAAAAAAACGTTTACAGTTCAAACAGCACAATAATAGTTAAGAAATTAAAATTTAATTTGATAGAATTCCATCAGCATGTATCCATTAAAGTCTCGTTTACCTAGAACAATCATATTTTTTCCAAGCTGAAAACATACACATACATCATTTGATGATCGATCATCATGCAAATTTAATTTTTTCAAATCACCATTTATCATGGTATCGATTAAACATAATGAACTCTTATTACTGTTGCTATTTAAATCAACGTGTTTAATTAACCATTGATTATCAGTTGAGTTTATATTCATTAGACAATAACATGATCGAAATCTTCGCAATTTTGTCATTGCAGAAATATCAACAAAATCTAATACATCTTCATCATCTTGTTCTAAATAAACATTCATAGCCAAATATTGTTGATCATTTAATTGAATACGATTTATCTCATTTTTATCATTGTCATACAAATCAGCAATTGTCCACCGTTTTATTAGTTGAAATGTAGTGTTTGTAATTGACCAATGTTCCAAATACGCTCCTAAACCATGATTGATAAATAAATTATCACCAACGTTTGTTAACCAACGCATTATTTTACCTAGAGTAAAAGCAAATGTTTTAGCTAAAGTAATATTTTGGCTGTTGAAGTCTACAGTTGTCTAACCCTCAATTTGTTTTATTTGATCTAATTTGTACGAATGATAAGGTTGTATTAAACAGTTGAATGCATATAATGCATTATTGGCTAAGATTAAAAACTCATGGCGTAACTCTGACCATAATGTACATACTACCGATCCTCTGTCTTCATTGTTCCATTTAATTTCCACTGTTTGTTTATCATTTTCATATAATTTTATTTCTGATTCATAACATGCTAACATGTATGTCATCGATGAATCGTAAACAGGTACGCAATTATTGGGACCAATAGATATCTTAAATTGACGTACGCATGGGGAATTCAATGTTATTTCTAAATCATCGACCGACACTTGTTTTCGACGAATTAATCGCATATCAAACTCATTTGCATGATTGAACTGAAGTTCAATTGATTGAGTTGCAGATGTTGAAGCTAAAAATGAGAGTAAGACAACTTTTCTATGTTGTGGAGAGTAGAAGGCAAAAATGTGAGCAGATAGATTAAGAAATGTAACTAGAAACTACAAGACAATTCGATTTCTTTCCTAAAGTGACGTCGCAATTGTAATTTGAGTAGATGCTTTGGTTTCTTACCAATTATTAATTCATCTTCGATATGTTTATCAAATTCAAATAAATTTTCTCGAAACTGATCTAAATCAGTTGGATAAAAATCTTTTTTATTCGATAATTTATTCATTTGATGTAATAATTGTTCATTGAAATGTGTCAAATATTTGTTTTTTTTGGCTTCAAATTCATTACCCATTTCTTCATAGAGCTGATTTATTTCATGGAATTTTTCATCATATATTTTTTGTAATTTTTCAGTCACATCTATTTTCCATTTACTTAATGGTGCATATAATTTTGTTCGATTATCAACGAGTTCAATTGCTGATAATTTGACATAGGTTTCATTTGCTTTTTCTAACAGTTTATCACGTTCAACTTTAACTAAATTTTGATGTTCGAGCATATGTTCTAAGCACACGTACTCATCACAACACACACAAGGTAAAAATGCTTCGCTGGTGCATGGTACAGAATCAATGGGATCTATATAGCGACATGGCTCAACTGGACGAAAACGTTTTGGTATCGGAGTTAATGACGATGGTCTTGAGTGACAGAAGGATGAGGATCGAGAAGTAGTAGCAGAGAAAACTGATTCCATGTCTGGTAAAAATCTATAAATAAAAGATAACATCACAAAGATAGAAGCACTAGGTCACCGTTTAGTAAGCACTGTTAATATTACACACGAAGTACTAGGTAACTATAGGGAGAGATGAAGATCGTATAAAAATGAGAGTCGACAAAATTCGCAGTTTTTATACTTGATCTATTTCTAATTGTTTTCTTTGAAAAAAATTATTTGTACAATATAACAAGGACAAAGTATGAGACTTGGGTATAGTTTAAACTGTATTTCTGTCATTTCATCCGTCAACTATGCCTCTGATTTGAAATAACATTAAAAATATTATTAGAACAAACTCCTCGATGTTTAACAGAGCGCTTTACTTCTAACAGTAACCTATGACTAGGACCACCTAACGCCACTATCACATATTGAATCATCAACGGAGTCAATAATGTGATGACCGACGATCATGGACTGATGATCAGAGCGTAGGACGATTTTCAGAGATTTCTCGTGTTGATCTCTGGCTTCAGAATAAGAAGTGATCGTTTTAACGGTCGATGGTCATTGGTCGGCCGATTGCGGACGCCCAATCATTAGAAGATTTTGTGGAGCTTTTCGATTTTTCAATATTCAAGTTCGGTTCATAAAGTTTTAAATCTAAAGAAGTATTAATGATTCAATTCCTGTTTTCGTTTTTATTAAGATATTTACTATTCTGTCCTAGATTAGAGGTCGCTCCAATCGCGAATGTCGTGTAATGATATTCAGTTAGAAAAAGTAAACGGAACTAAAATATATTTGGTTCTTATCCAAATCTATAGGTTTCGTTAAATAAAGTTGCATATGTCAAAAACTGCAAAAGAGCAGGAATAATCGTCTTTTTTCCACTTAATTAGCTTTTTTACTAAACTGCATAAAGTCTGACTGAAGTTTCACACTACACTGTAATCTTGAATTAATTTCCAATTTATAGAAAATCGACCGAAAAATCACTGGGGATTTTCTAGTTTATAGAAAATCGACTTAAATTTTCATAAATTCGATTTTCTATAAAGGTATAGAATTTTCTATAAAGTGGAAATTCGCCTAAATTTCTAGACCAAATACTTATTCATCTTTTGTTTTGTAATCAGTGAAGTTATAAGAACGTCACTTAAAGACGCTCATATCACACTTAAATCAAGTTTGAGAGTTTCTACTTTAGATCACAATTCTGCCTATGCCAACAATTTAGGCAGTGACAGTAGTGGCGCGAAGTTTCGGTAGGAAGGTCCCAAAATCAAAGACATTCACGAGAAATTTCTCAAAAGCATGAGCGTGGTCAACCCCAATACAATCTGGTCGTACCGCCACTCGGTGCAGACCCGCCAAGGAATTTCCAGTTTATAGAAAATCAAAAAGGAATTTCTACTTTCTTGGAAATCATTTATGAAAATTCAACAACGATTTTCTAGATTGTTGGAAATTCGATTTTCTATAAACTGGAAAATCCTCGAGGAATTCCTATAGGTACTCTTTGAAATTCGCCGAACATTTTCCATAAATAATTTCCAACCTTACAGTGTAGGACCTTGATCGATACAGTTTGTCTAACTCATGAGGTAACTGAGAATGGCCTTTTAAATGCAAGACGCTGTTTCTTTCGTTTATTCAAAATTAAGCAAAGACTACTTTGCTATTGCAATGAATTTTGAAAGACGGTGCAACTTGTCCTCATTATTTGCTCAGTCAGTGTTAGTGACTATATCGCAATTAGTGGCGGCGTATAACAAGAAGTATAAAAAATTATCTGTATTACAGGAAAAACAGAAACTTGTAAAACAAACCAGTTACTGATTAGATATCTTATGCATCTCTATAAACCATAATCTTACCCATGTCGAGCTTAATTTTAAAATACCATCGGTATACCGCGCGGTTAACCAACGGTAACTTATTAGATCGTAGTCTAAGACAATACCGTACAGTAACCGTTTTTATCCATTCAGCCTTGTATTTTACATCCATAAAGATACAGAAAAATTCGAGAAACTTGATTCCTTCTCCGCATAAAACTTTTTTTTTAGATCATATAGACCCGTCGAAGTTTGAACTTCGACTCGAGTCAAATCTCCCTCATATGGAGTCTGTCTGCGCTTACTAGTGTTCAACAATAAAGAAAAGAAAGTTAAAAATTAGTTTGAAGCTCCTGTTCTACGTATTCATAATGACAAAATACGAGATGGTACTTCCCTAGGTCGATGAAAACTGTCATTTAGTTGTCCATTAACAGCCTGTTAACTGTATGCCAAAAAATGGCCTATTAATTGTGTTAAAATGGAATGAAAATTGGTATTTAACAGCCATTATAATGACTTTTTGTTTATTTTGAAATAACGGTGATAATAAGGCCATATTATAGCCAATGTCCGAAAACTGGCATTTTACGGACACCATTAAATGGCATTTTTGTCCACTTATTAGACCGCGTTAACTAATGCCTAATAAATGTGCCTGCTACATATCCGTTTTAAGGCAGTTTTTTGTCCATTTCAAAATGGCAAAAAAATGATCAAAAATTGGCATTTAATAGCCATTTTATGGTCACCAAGTCATTCACCGTTTTATTCTGCCGTCATGACTAGTATAAATGACTCGGAATGCGAAATAAATGCATTTAAACGTTCCCAGTTATAATGGCAAAAAACGGCCTAAAAACTGGATCCAATGTCATAAAAATTCCGTTTAAATGCATATTAATAGCGTATGGCTAAATGGTTTTTAATTAGCAATTATTTACACCGTTTTCGACGTCCTGGGTCTGGTTATACCGACGGTAGACAGTGACATACCGCGTGGTTACGCTCGGTATACCGGACGGTATTTTCGTTTACTATGGCGGTACATCTTCTGATAATCGTTGGTATTTTGCTGGTATTAAGCACATGGTACATTTAAAAAAATTCGACAGATTTTTTATAGCGTAAACTAACGATATCAGAAACGTTTTAAGGGCTTAGTCACTTCACGTGGCTGTAGATATTATTGCGCTACCACAGTGTTTTGATTCTATTCTAAAAGTTCCAGTTTGTCACAAGCTGGATGGTGACCATCTATCACATATGCAAGTGGAGTTATTTAAAACAGCGAAACAAATGCGCAAGTTTTTCGCACTGCGACAAACATGCGGCAAATCATTTGCGAGATGTCTGAACGAACAGTGCAGAATCATCTTTTATTTGTGTTCCTGCCACACCAAGCAAGACAGACCTTTGGGTAATCAAAATTAATGATATCAAGCGCAAATGTTTGCTTGATGTACATATTTAAGCGACATCTATAGCAGAAAACGATCAGCAAAGGATCAAAGTTGCTACATAGAGAGTTGTTCGTGCCTTCATTTTTTCGAATTCCTTTCAAGTTGAACTTTTCTTGTTAACTTCTACCTACGTTGCTTAGCAACGAAAAGTTAGTGTTTCTTTACAGCTCTTCGTCAATGGGCTGCTTTTACTGACTGAATCAACAGTTAGCTGTCATTATCAAGGTAAACCAATTCAAAAATGTCTCGTAGCTACAGCGCTAATCAATATGAAAAAGCGTTTGATCCAAAACGACTGCAAATGTATCTGATACCAAAAGATCAACTTGGTCAAGTAAAATAGTGCTACTTATTCTTTCCTACATGTACTTTTCAGTCATTTTTATCTTTAGCATCCAAAACGTGCTGCAGCAATGAATTCTACAAATTTTATCACAGATAACAACGGCAGACTATTGCCAGGCATAGAAAAGACAAATCGTAATCCTTGGGGTGAATTCATCGGCACATGGGATCTACCAAAGAGAATTCCTGGTAAGTGTTACAGAATCAAATTTCGCTCCTTGAAATGCTATGTCACTCTTAAGGACCATTCCACATTCAACCTATGGGAAGAACGGAAAAGAATTTCAATTCGTTGTGCAATCAACGTGATCAAGTTCTCAAAGAGATGGAACAAGCACGTCAGTATACGGTCAGTTAACTAGTATTCTTCTCCCATTTCTAATTTTTCATGGTTGTTCTTTACTTTATTATTTTAGAAGGATAGTAGTTCTTTGCATGGAACCTCCTAATTGAATTCTTTTTTCCATTGAATGTGTAATCGTTATCCTTTTTTTGTATTTTCTGTCGAGGCTTGTTTTGGCTTTGTTGTATAAAATCTGGCTCTAGCCAAATCTTCTTTCAAATCTCCTGCCTTTTGTAATGGTGGTCTTGATCTCTGAAAAATATCATTTGCATAATCGCATCAGTTCGAATATGTTTACGAGCAGCCGTCATATCGAATAGAAAGAGAAAGCCATCAAAATGAATATCTTTTATGCTCTTTAATGTGAAATCACTTAAAAATATCGGTATAAAATCTTTGCTCAGTTTCTTACACTTATGTTTTACATTCTCTTATTCAACTACTTAAAATTTTGTTTGTTAATCCCGATTCCATATGTGTACTTGAATGATGATAGACATATGCTAAAATTCTTTATACATATTTCCTAGATGATTTTTTCGTCGATGATCTATCCAATGTAAACGATCATGTTCAAATCACGCATAATATCAAGAGCATCAGAGTGTCCGATTAGTTTCGGAAGTATGGGGGTGATGAAATTTAACAAAAAAAAGTTAACAATTTCCGTAGGAAGTCGGAAGGTATTTTGCTGTAGAGATAAAAACGTTAATCTGACCGACTCAGAAAGTAGACTTTTTTCATAGAAAGCCATCAAATTTGGGAGACGAAAGCGCCTCCATTCCATTCTGATCGGGAAGGTAGAACATTCATCACTCTTACTCTTACCACTACGGTCTCAATATTTTTTAGAAATGATATCATCTGATAAATAATCGATTCAGACATGTCATCTTTAAAAGCCAGACTCATCAGCCAATAGTTTTTATTCAATATAGACATTTATTCTATGGACATTCTCTCATATCGAGTAGGCATGCATCGTAACCGAAATCGATTACCTTGATTTCAAACACACTCTAAACCTATTCCATTTAACTATCAATAGTGCTAGTGGACCCAGGTCGAAGATTCCTACGATCAGATCGTACACGAACAAGTATCGTAAACAGTTCGGGTGTATCTCAAAAAATTAGGTTGGACTTTGCACGTGGCGAAAATATGTAAAAAATGTATATATTCCATCCCATACTTATATACAAGTATATTTTCCATCTCATGTGTCGAAATAAGCATACACTGAGCGGAACAGTTCTCGATCAGATTTTTACATCGTATATTTTGCTAGTGATGTGCTGTATGCATGGTCAAAAGAATGCCAGGCGAAAGTAAACACTCTTTAGTATGTTTTATCGTATCTTAAACCAATTTACGACCTGCAGTATCAAGTGTCGTTGATTGTTAGCGGAGCCATGAATCTTATAACGAACAAGGACAGCAAATCAACTATACACATACGACGCTCGGAGTCAAAAATTTAGTATTATGTTTTTTCCTTAGATCCTACGACAATCGAATGAACTGCCTACTGAGTTACACCATATAACTAGACTGATATGCTTTCGCTTAGTGAGTACTTCATCATTTCTTTTTCCCCTACTGTAAATGGCCAAAATTCATATGATGAGCGCAAATATGCAATATTTCTTATTATTAATGATTTTTCCACGAACTGTACGTATCACTCATTGTTTTTTTTTACAAAACCCCTACTGTCAGCTAGTTTTTTCCTCTGTTTTCTTTATTTCTTGTTATTTTTCGTTATGTATGTGTATTGATACAGTAATATCAGACAAACAGACAAGATGATAGCATGGCTTGTATTGACTTTCTTTTTGCTTTATTCATTCTTATCTAAATAGATAAAGTCCATATCAACCCCGCCTAGATTTCAGACTTCATTTTTCTATCCTACGAAGGAAGAGCCTGAAAGTTTTCATAGTTAACAAAGAAATTCATTTTATTTAAAAAAAATTACACACGCACATAAACAAAATGTTTTTAATTATATTCTAGTTCACTTAACGGATTTGTATTTAATTTGATAACTTCTTCTCGTTCCTCACTTTCATCATTCGTTTTTTTACATAAAAAATCGGACTGTCTAATATGGGGTGATGTTGTTTCTGTTGTCGAATTATATTTGACAACAACTTTCATCGGTCTTTGTTCTTTTGGTTGAGGTCGATAGACCAGATCATTTTCAGTTGCATCTAACTCATTCATATTATCATTCAATTGCATATATGAATTCGAACAACGGCGAATTTGAGCAGTACAATGCTTTGATCGAAATGAACCATAACGAAGAAAATGATAAAAATGTAATTTAATTCGATTAAAATATATATTATTCATAGTAACATATAAAAATAGTAGACCAAAACTAAAACATCCAATAACAATTCCCACAATTGTATAGAAAGAAATTTTATATTTTTTACTATTTTTTGATATTTTTTGTTGTTGTTCTGAATGATATTGTTGAGCAGAACATGTTTGATCCTCTGTTATATATATTTGTAGTTCACCTTGCATTTCACGACATTGTAATACACGTTGTGGAAAATTACACTGTGCCTCAAATTCATCTAATTGTTCTTGACTATAATCAAAATAACAAAGAGGTATTAAACCTTCTAATTTTGATCTATTCAATATTTTTCGTTGTCGGCGATATAAATAATACACGGTACATGAACATTGATTTTCTTCTAATAATTTTACTGGAAAATGTTCTGGAATATCAATAATACGACAAAAATCATTTACTGACAATTCACGATCAATTATTTCTAAACGTTCTAAAGAAGATGAAGCTGATTGATTGAAACGAATATAAAAATCATTTGATTTCATTATTTGAAATAGTAGTTCACCACCATTACCTAAAATGAGTAAAAAATTTTCAAAAAACTTTATAAAAACTATCTTACTAATCAATGAATAGATCGAGGATCGAAAAGATATTTATCGCATTTTAAGTTACAACTTAAAACAGCTTAAAATCCCTCCATCTTTGACTGGATGGACAAAAGAGAAGATTATTTGAACTTTCTCTTGTTCTGACAGATATAGATGTAACCGGTCAAGATTTTGTCCACCGGGTCGGTAGCCGGTCTAAATACACCGGATCGGGCTGGACAAGTACGATCGGTCAACCGACCGTTTGTATCTTTTTCCTCTATCGGATCGAGACCGGTTTAAACCGGCCGCTCGCTGGTTAGATCTCTGCTGACAGAGTGTGCAACAGTCACAATGCTTTCATAACTGTTTTCGGAATCGAAATCACTATCTACTTGAATCCGTTAGTGGAATACTTCAAAATTAGAAAATTCATCTGCCGATTTCAATTGGCACTAGTAAAATATTCAATATTCGATTTCAATATCAAAGAGACTTGAAATTGAATTAAAGTTGCGTTACAGATCAATTTGATGGCTGTAAATTATTTTTTCTCTCTTTTTTTGTGTTGTTTTAATATCTATTTTTTTGAAATTAAAAAATATTTCTCTTTTTTTATAAACAAAAATGGAAAATGGAATAAAATTAGTACAAAGAAACAGGATTTGTTGACGCTTTCGCACACATGAATCGCCCTAGCGCTCGATAATGTCAGACTAAGAAGCGTAACTATAACGCTCAAGAAAAGAGTTTACCTTCATTAATATTTGTGAATGCATTCGATGCTATTTGTAATGCTCCCGTGGAATATTGAAAACCAATTCTCAATACACTCGATTTATATATATCAATATTCTTAATGGAATAATCATCAAATATTAAATTTTGTGAATATTTTATCCAAATATCAATTAGACATTGATCTTGTTGATGAAAATTAACAATTGAATATTTTGAAAAATAAATATCAGAACAATTTGATATTAGAAGAGATAATGTTGATTTATGACGTTGAGTTATATTGATAAAAGATTCTTTTGAAAATAATATATTTTGTCCATAATTTATTTGAAGTTGTAATGTTGAATTATTATCTTGTGATAAACGGCTAAATGTTGTTGATGGAAAACATATATCAGTGGAAATATTAAAAATACTCATAAGAATCGTTGATTGTACTAAAAATGTGAAAAGAAAAGAGATATTGAACTCATTCATTCTATTCCTATATGAACTTATTTGAAAAATGAATAGAATGAGAATCATTCAGACACATCAGTGAAGAAGAATCTCATAAATATATACCTCCTTTTTCTTACATTGTGTAAGACTTCCAAATATTGATTCATTAATGGTCATTGTTAAATAATTAGCAAAATTTAATTGAAAATGTGAATATTGTAATTGTTTCATATCATAAAATGTATTTGAACCTATATGAACATGTTGAAATTTATTAAATATTAAACTAAATTCACTATGACGTTCTTGAATAATATGATCAAAACTTTTATCAGAAAAATAAACATTTTGAAAATTTACAAATTCAATTTTCATATGTGAACCATATGGTAAAATAATGGAACCTTTGAAAAGAAAAAAGAAAATTTAAATATAAAAATAGAATGAATGATAAATATTAACAAATTAAAATATTATTTATATTCTACCTGTATTTGATTGAAATCTGATATTATTATCAATATTTAAAAATGCTAGATGAAATTGACTATTATTTGAATATTTAATACCATCTAACGAATAACCATCAAATATTAATTGTTTTTCTTTATTATTTGTATTAAATATTTCTATATCTAATATTCCAAATGGATTTAATATAAGATCATCAAATGTATGTGAAAATATTGTATTAACATTAAATTGATTTATTTTTATATATAATTTTGAATAAGATGGAATTTTTAAATTTGTAAAACTATTTGATGATAAATAATTTATTGATGAAAATTGAATTGTAAATTCATTAATATTATCATTATTATTTGAAAACATATCAAAATATTGAAATGCTTCTATCGATATTTCTGTAACATGTTCATCAAAATAGATAATATCATATTTGTAACATGTTAAACATCGTAATGGTAATGATGAACATTGAATACGTTGTTCATTCAAATTACAATAGCAATTTGCACTATTTAAATCATTATCATTTATACATGAATTAGTAATAATTGATGAAACAAATATTATTTGAAGAAAAAATAATAAATAAATTAAGTTGTTAGACATAATAAATTGAATTAATCTGAAATAGAAATGAAATAAATCAATAAAATATTGAATAATTGACTAAGAACAACAGTTTGTGTAATATGATAAACCAATTTTATAAATAATTGCTCGTATTTTTTATACTTTGATAATTATTGAACATATTGTCAAGAATTTATCCTGTCTACCTGTTCAATTTTATTGAAATCTACGGCTATTGTATGTCTGAAATACTTATTTTTTTGTAACACTTAACAAGAAATTTTCTCTTTCTTTTAGACCTGACTTGGATATACATGATTGATATATATGTGCGTGTGTGTGTGTGTGTGTATGTTATGCATCAGAGTACGAGTAACTCAGAGAGCATAAATATTCATGTAATTTTTCTTTTTAAAATAGAATATTATACATACATGCATAGACAATGTATATTCAATTGTTTGTCTATACATAGAAGCTCTTGTTTCGATGTGAATTTTTCTTCTTTCTATTTTTCTTTATTTCAACGACAGTATTACTGATACATGTGCAGGCATACACTATTAACAATATGAGGTTATTTTATTTCGTTACTTTTGATGTGATATTCACTAGAGATTTTTTTTTTCCTTTGTATTTCAAATATATTCTAATATGGACATTTTTTATATACAGTTGTTCAGTGTCTGTATTAGAACAGAAAAAGAGAGAGAAAGAGAGAAAGAAAATTAATGTTGTTCAATTGCAGTTTTTTTTTGATATAATAGTTAAAGAGTTCACATTCAAATCCAATATGAATACCATGACTACTTTCAAACCTAAAAGGCAACACATAACTCAATGATACGCTCTATATTATTTAACTACGATAAACAGATACAGAGCAAAATTCTTGATAAAAGAACCATAGACAATATGAGTAATTTTCATGAAAATCTTTTTGTACAAACTCGAAGATCAAGTTTTTGATAATTTTTGCTACTAAACCTAACTACATACAATCTTGATTTTTCTTTTTTGTACCTGAAATTATTTTACTGCACTACTACAGTTCAAGCTATACAATACTGAATAGCTCGACGGTACTGTACAAATAGTTCTGTTTCAATCACATGAACCAGCTATGTAGTCGAATAGTATGTGTAGAAGTTAAACTTGATATCTGTTATAGACATCTGTCACAAATAGCACTTAGACAACTAGATTATATCCTAGATCTAGATGTACAAACCACCGACCACTGATCAACGAGCGTCTATACAATCATATGATATTCATCTGACGTTCATTTTTGTGTATGTCACTTACACACTTTAGTGAAGAGTCGAACATTACAGATTCCACTTTAGATATGTGTAGTCTGTACTTAGTCTTCAATTCGAAGATCATGTGCAAGTCAAAAGCTGCTTTGAAATCATAAAATAGTGTCTAATATTCGACTTCTGGATCGAGTAAAATACAAGGTAAATGATCAATCTGTAGCAATTATCGGTTAATCCAATTGCAGTGACACACAGACTTTGCTTACTACAAGGCTTAAAGACCACAAAGCTGTGAGAAGTGTTTGAGCAACTAGTTTTGTAATCCCATACTAGGATAGAGAAGAGTTTAGTTTAACTAACGAGGAAACTTTTCCAAATGCCTCCTCATTTTTTTAGCGAAATGTAGTAGCTAATCAACCATGCTGATTCCGAATATGATAGCCAGTTTTTCCCATAGGCCTTTCTAGCCGATTTCTGGAAAACTGGTTTTCGAGGAATCTCGAAAAATCTCCAAAACTTTTTCTGAATAAGTCGCCATTGTAGTTCGCGAAATTCTGATCAAAATAAGATATCTTCCAGCTCTCCATGACCTTTCTTTGCAAAGTTATGGAGTCTTCTTGTAAGCTCTATAACTTTGCAAAGAAAGGCCGTGTAGAGCTGAGAGATATCTTATTTTGATCAAACTCTCGCGGGCTATAATTGAGACTTATTTAGAAAAAGTTTTGGGGATTTTTCGAGGTCGAGGAAAAACGGGTATCATATGTTCCATAAAGCGTTAGATCTAGACATCAACTACTCTTTAGACTACTCCATGACTTCAGAATAAACATGAACAGAATACCTAATTACTATGCGCTATATTCTGCCCGATAAAATTGTCATGTCCTAATTCAATTCTGTAAATAGTTTGAAATTTCTCATTAGTCTCCCTCTCTTCATGTTTCATCATGAACAAGAACAACGAGAGAAATAATATTCTGTGTTTAAAATATTTAAGCAATATATTATTGATGAGTTATTCGATTAGCAGAAGTTTTGTTCAATATTCATGTATATTGAAATATAACAATAGAAAAACAAACGAGAAAAGGAAAGGGGAGCATCTCTGAAATACGTTCAGAGCCAACGCAGACAGCATACCTGTTCTAGCTAGATAATTACAGATGTGTAATTCTGAATATTTAAGAAGTAGAGAGCTAGAAAATCGCGCCACATGAAGATTTTAGAACTTCGTTTTATAGAAAACAAAATCATTTCCCGTTATTATCTTCAGTTCTTTTAGTTTATATATATATATATAAATATATAATGTCACAACACGTTTATTGCACACGATGCTCAGCTTATCGTCCTTCCGTTACATCTACTTATAATTCGTCAAGTCAAAGTTCCATTCAAACTCAAATGGCAATATGTAAATCTTGCCGACGAGCAATACAATGTCGACAGTGTAATTTAATCACTTGTTGTTGCTGTGCAACACTATCATCCCCTTTATCGCAAACTAGACGAGATAGTTTGAGTAATAATGTTCTATCGCAATTGTCTTCATCACAATCTAGTTTGTCGTCGTTTCAAACGTTATCCTACGATTTATCAACATTGTACAACAATGAATTATTTTCCGATTTTACTATCCAAGCAAAAACACAGCTATTTTATGTACATAAATGTATATTATCAGCGCGATCAACCGTATTTTCTGGTAATTATGAGACTTATAGAGAATAAAATTAGAAAAATATCACTATTGCATCTATTTCCTTTCTCTCTCTCCATCAATTGTATCTATTTTTCCCGTTAGCTATGTTTCAATCGATGATGTTAGAACAGCAAACTTCTCAATTAAAAATCGATGACTATGACGCTGATGTTGTCGATGAATTTTTAAAATATTTATATACAGATCAATGTTCTCTAGATGGTTTAAATTCATTTGGTGAGCAGTTATTAGCGCTAGCTGATAAATACACTATTCAACAATTGAAAGCACAAGTAGAAGGTCATTTTATTCAATATAAATTAAATAAAGAAAATTGTTTGAAATTATTGATCTTGTCAGATATGCATCAGGCAAATTTATTGAAGGATTTTACAATTAAATTTATAAACACTAATTTATCAATTTTTGAACATGGTACAAGTGATTGGAAAACATTCAGACAATCTTATCCAAATCTTGTAGCAGATTTATATGAAAAAGCTGTTAATTTACGAATAAAACGATAAATATAATTGAACATTCACTTTTGTATTGGCTACGGATAATTGTAGTGGTAGTGTTTGGTGTTACAAAACAGCAATCTATCCTAGTCGTGTATCCAAAAGAAGCAACTGAAATTGAAGGTCATAAAAATTTTCCTAATAAATAATATTTAATCACATTTGAACCAGAATTTAAATTTAAACTATTCTCTTTAGTATCAATTGATCTCTGAGTATAAGTAAGTCGATGAACAACATGAATTTTAACAGAAAAATAATAAAGTTTTAAAATTTACTGAAAGTAAATTTTCATTAACTACTTTGCTAAACATTTTTTGTTTTGAGTTTGTTATTCATTCTTTTTATAAAAACTAGCCCTGTGATGATTTAAAACATTGAGTAGCACATATTATTTTACAAACGAAGAATATGACGAAAGTATGATTCAAAAGTAAACCATCGACATCTGATCGTATTGGCATTTTGGTACTCATTTTGTTCAATAATAGAAATTCGTGTATAAAGAGTTATTTATCCTATAAGTAGATTTTTACATAATAATTTGAAAATATTGCACAAAAAAACATCGATCTCAAAATAAAGTAGTAGATATATCACGAAAATCATCCGTTTTTGTTTAAACAAGTGGATATGAGCTCAATGTAGCTATTCCACATTGATTATTTTTGTTTCGACTCATCCAAATATAACCTTCCATTCCCCAAGATTTTCCCCATCCATTTTTGACAATATAATAATCCTGTCCATTAATGGTATCATAACCAACAGCCAAGATAGCTAAATCGAGCATACTTGTACTACACTGTGGCTCATCATAAACACCTGATGAATAAAATCGAAATGAATCATGCTGACAATCAATTGCAATACTAATTGGTCCAACAGTGGCTATTGCTATTTGAAGATCAGTTTCATTACCAGTTTTAATGTCGACAAAACCTTAAGTAAATAAATAATAATCTACGATAGACATACATTTACAACAAAATTTAACCTACCCGTATCATTGGCTCCAACGTTTTCTGCCTTAAACCGACAATCACCGTCTCGAGCTTCGTAAGGATAAGAGTCTTGAGTATCAATTCCTTTATTATCTTTAATATATTGAAATGATGAATCCATATAACCACCATTGCAACCTTCGTTACCATATTTACCACTACAATCAATTAAATTTTGATCTGAGAGTGTATTTAACTTCTTGTACTTCTTAAAATGTTGTCCTTCTAATGCTCCTGTTGCCGAGAATGCCCAACATGATCCTAATAAAAGTAAAATAAATTAAAATCTATACACACTAGAAAAATGATAGAAACTAACCACATTGTTGTTGATCTTTAATATCTGTTACATATCCTTCTTTACGCCAGTCTATACAATAAGAATATTTGTCATATTAGAAATTCAATAGAAGCTTTATAATTGTCTCTACCAATAGCTGCCGGAAGTACAATATTTGATGGTGGAATAAATGTATGTCGATCAAAATTCTTTTCTATCCGCTGATCTGTTTTCAAACCATACATAGTTTTACGAAATTCTTCATCAGACTAAAAAAGCACAACATGATAGAAGAGCAATTTCTAAATACTATTCTATTTCTAACAATTGTTCCTATAGAAAATTGATCACATCTTATTTTAATCATTTTTAATTTAATTACTAATAATCCAATTCTTTTGGTGAAATAAGCATCTTAAAATTTTCTAGAAAATACTTTTATTCAGTATTTTATACGAAAAATTTTAAGAGAATATTCAAAAATGGAAAATTTTATTGAAATGGATAACATTAAAATTTCCATGCAACATATGAAATTGATATTGAAGAGAATTTCAAGACGTATCTTTTGTGAAAATAATTGGAATCTTTAGAATATTAGAGTGAAAAGTTGTGATCAAAATATTAGAATAACCGATTTTCTATCGAACACTTCTCATACTGACCAAATCACCATATTTATTCATTTTCATTGTAAAGGTATGCAAACCAAGATCAGCTTCTAGATTATGTGCTTGAATTTTAGCTATATTTTTCGTCCATATATCACGTCTTAAACCATAAAAAATAATATACAAATGACGCACTATATTTACATCAACTTATTAATTGCTCTATTACCTTTGTAATTCTTCAGAAATTGAACTATACTGTTTAGCATGGACTGTTTTAAATAAATTCCATGATTGTTCAAGCATCGGCGAGCCACAATATGTGCCAATGAATAAGGCTGATAATAAAATCAATTTCATCTTTGTTTTCAGTTGCTATTGAAATGTAGATCAAAAAGAATGAAAGAAGACATTTTTTAGTATTATGTGTCAACTTTCACCTGTCGTAAGTATTGACACTTGATGAAATGTTATCTTATACGAAACAACGTATCATCTTTATTTGTAATATTTTTTGAAATGATCATCATTATGATAGTTTAAGGCAAGAGCTGACATCAGCAATTTTTCCTACACTTACTACAAAAATGCTTTATTAAATTTTACGATTGAAAATGTATTACGCGTTGATAAAACTTGGTATTTTCTCCTGCATTTAACGCATTATTAATCAAATAAACCAATGTCAGTTTTTTGTTCTTTGAATCTATAAACACTTTTGTCAAAATTTAATAGAAATATAGTTCATACAACAATATCATAACAAGTTGAATGGACCTGTTTTTTCTAGATATTATTCAATATTTCTTATGAACTTCGGTAATAAGATCTTACAAGAAAATGTTATAAGAAATGAAAAGATCATTTAAGGCTCTAATAGTTAAAATCATTCACGAGAACTGAAGGTGTATGTTGAATCCCGTCCCGGTCGATCAAAGATTAGAGCTTCTGGCGTGTTACCGGATGTTTTGACTTTGATTTCCCGTCGAGACATATATTTTGTTTTCAAGCGTTTGTCTATCGAATGATGTCTCTTTTTTAGCCGTGTCAAAACTCATCTACTAGCTTCATCTAAAAGTCCTTTTTCAATTTCATGTGAAAAAATGATACACTGACGTGAAAATTTCATATTTTTCAAGTTTTAATATATAGCAGATTTATTTCGAATATTTTCTACACAACGTATACATTTTTATAACCGTTTGATGTCCGTAAAAGCTCCTTGAGAAGTCATCTACATCAAATGCACTTAATGTTTTTCTCAAAATCACATTTTTGTACTACTTGAAAATTTTGAGATAGCGTTTTGGCATGAAAGCCAGATCGATATGGCTGAACTTTTTAGCAGAGATGACCCGATCATACATATATCTGTGAGAATGCATACTTTATCTACATATCACAAAATCGAAAAATTTTAAAAGTTTCTTGGATCAAAATCGATTGCAGTTTCGTCTTCTCCACAGTCGATTAACTTGTGCGTGATAACTTTTGGACTGAGGTACTTCAGAAAAAATTTTCGACATCGTTTATCTCTGGTCTCATGCAGTGACTTTTTCGAAAATTTTTGAACAAGATCAGGAGCAAATTTTTATTGAAGTACCCCGATCCAAAAGTTATCGTGTACAAGATAATCGACTATGGAGAAGATGAATCTGCAATCGGTTTTGACTGAAGAAGTTTTCAAAATTTTTCTGTTTGATGATATGGTTCTTAATATTTCATGTCTGATGAGAAAGTATGCTCGAAAAACAGAAAAAAGCACCTTCAAATGTATGTTTTGTCTACTTCTGTTATATTAAAAACTTTAGTCAGATCGTTCATGCCTGTCAAACAGAAGTATTGTCTCAAAAAACCAGTTATTTTTCACTGTTATCCATAAAACTCAGAACTCTATATTGCGTGCAGACATGTGCGCCGATAAAAAAATTTCGGCGGCGGCGCTAGATTATGAAAATTTTCTCCGCCTTCGGCAGCGGCGTCTAAAAATTGGTTATCGGCAGCGAATCTCATAATTTGAGTAAAACAGCGTTCTCTTTCATTTCTGGCACGTTCTTCGCGCGCCAACTGTATCTGTACGTTGCCATATACGAAAAGATAGAAACGCACTGCACGCTAAATGCCTAAGGTAAGAACGTACTAACAAAAATAGTCAAAATTTTCTTCGCCCTCGGCGACGAACAAACGTTTAACGGCACGGCGACGGCGGTGAAAGTTAGAACAGTTTTTCTCCACTGTCAGCGGCGGCGGTGTGTAAAAACTGACCGGCGGCGAATCGGCGCACATCTCTGATTGTGACACAATCAGAGATGTGTGCCACACCATACATTGTTTCCACTTCCATTCTTTTTATCGGAGAGTAACTGTTTCTTTACATGGCTATAGTAACAAGAAAAGATAACAACAAAATTGTTTGGAATGCTAAAAACGAAAAAAGAGACAGATTTTTTGTTTTCTTTTTTTACGAGAAAGTGGAAAGAAAAGCCTAATTCATAAGAGAAAAGAAATTAGAAGTTATTATGTCTTAACGTAACTTTGAGAAAATTAGAATGTGCAGTGCAGAAAGACAGACGAGCATTGACTGGTTTCTTTGCGTTGTTTGATTGGTAACCAATCAATCAACGCAGAAAAAGAGCCGCCTTTTGATTGTAAGTAACTTTGATCAAAACTTTTGATTTAAAAGTTCTGATCAGAGCTAATGTTAACCGACTACGAGGTAACACGAAAAAGATAAAAGAATAAATACAATTTCTTTATTCTTTTCATCGTTTTTCAAATTTAAACTGAAAGGTCCAGTCACAAATGTGAAAAAAATCTGGCAAAAAGAAGTCCACGCCTCTTATGTCTCCAGTCCAGTCCAAGTCCGGACTTGCCCATCTCTGAATTGTGTGAACTTAATCTTGTAGAACTTTGAATCTTATCATCCGGATAATGAGCGTCAAGATGAACTTGATAGTCAATTGATCAAAATAAAGTACAACAAGTAAATGTCAATACATAACAAGAATAAAAGATACTAACGATACCCACGAGTTCGTAACAAGATCGTCCATTATTAACAGCCGGGTTTTGTCTCGATTTGGCAAAAATTCAATATACTTTTGCCAATTATGACTTGCATTGTCTCTCTTGAAGTTGCATTGTCTCTCAACGCAAGTCACATCTTTTTTAGGGTTAGTTCGTATCAAAGGTATTTTAATATGCACATATCACGCACAGTTCTAGAAAGCAGCTAATTATCACCTGACAACGATGATGACAATACAGATACATCTAGTTTTTTCTTTTTTCCACGTTTTTTACAAAGCACTGGTGCACCAACCAAGAACGAAAAGGCTGAGACTACTAATGCCTTCTTTTTCATTTCCAACATATCAAGTAAATGAACATTTGACGACCTTTCTTTTCAGCGTTTTTCTTTGTTATTTATAATATCATGTCTTCGATCCCCGCTGTCTACAACTAAATATCTACTAATAAAAATGGACAAAAATATCTTGTATACATATATACTCCGAGATGCAGAGAGTACCAGGACAAACAACCACATCAAAATGAAGAAAAATCGAAACACAAATATGTCAACCTGTCTATGTGATATCCGAATCAAACATCGTTTAAAAAAATTGTTACTTGCATTAAGAGACAATGCAACTGAATTATTGGCAAAAAACCATGGGTTGTATTGGTGAAAGTACACTGGTAGTATTGATGAAAGTTTAGAGGACTCTCTCCAATTCGCGAAAGTACACTGGATTTTCGCATTTTGGCGGAAGTCATATTGTCATACCCCTCGATTTCCAGTAATTCTTTCATGTAGTTCAATTTTTTTAGCAACCACATGATAAAAAAAATGAGAGATGAATACGTACAGTTGTTAAGAGTACATATATTTTTTTATCACTCCTCAACTTAAATTGAGAAACCTATTAAAATTGTTTTTTATACTTGGATATTTTCATTTCATCTTCCAAAATGTTTGGAATAAATATTAGTGCTTCATTATCCTACGGCGAATTAAACAGAGTACATCTTATTTTGAATTCAATTTTAATGTAGATTTATAAGAGATTATTTATTATCTTTCACTGATATATTAGATTTGACAATATTTTCATTATATTAATTACAAACAGGGACATAACCTTAAAATAAAAAAAGTTTTGATAACAATAAAATAATATTGATTAAGAGAAGAATATAAAACCTGTAAGAAAATAAATCAATTTTTCTTAACAGTATAGATGCTGTTGGTAATATCCAAATTGAATATTCACAAAGGTAGGTATATGCTTTCATTTTCTTATTCACGATTTTTTTTTTCTTGGAGACCGAACCAAGTATACTTGTTTTCACTTGTTGACCAACAGTTTTTGCGTTATATCGATCGCTAAGTAGAAGTTGCATGTCGTTTCATTAAATATCGATAAGAATTAAATTTATTATCTGTCAAAGATTTTTGTTGATGTCGAAGTAAATTTGAATCAATTTGTTGATCAAATAAAAATCGATCACATCGTTCATGTTTGAAAAATTGTTGATAATTTTCATAACGACGTTTTAGTATCGGATTATTATTTAGTAAAGTTAACGTTGAAAATGACATTTTTCGTTGTGGATATAATTCCGATATTAAATATTGATAGAGACCATCGCTATTCTGACGAAACATACACATCAAACTATCAAGACTAATATTTGACTAGAATATGAAACAAAGAAGAAGAAAGAGATAAAACCACTTGTCAACATTTTTCATTTGCATAAAAGTACACATGCTAAATACTTTTTTTTTAACTTTTAAATTTTACGAGATCGAAGTTACATCTGCCTATTGTGAACGAAAAATGAGTGATCAGACTAGCATCTCTATGTTCTGAATCAACTAATACTCTTTAATCAATGAGAAGGGATCGAATTTAAGTGTTTGTCGACAGAGAAACTTGACTGCGTTAGATAACAAGTATAAGTACAACAACTCTATTCAATTAAGTCAAATAACAAGTGATGAAAGTAACAGATAATAATCGGCCCATCTAACTCATGAGAAAACAATTCAAAATGTTCACTCGCTTTCTGTGTAAAAGTTATAGAGACATATTTTAATCTACGATATTGACTTTCGAATATGATCATGCTCATACATCTTCAACTAGCGATTTTACAGAAAAATCGAGCTCAGAAAAAATCAGAGATTTTCTTAAAAACTCAATTTTTGATCTGACCAGTCGTTAGGGCATATTGATTTTTTTTATAACTATCAGTCAAGATCTGACGACATCATAAACTTTGTTTTTAATCTTAGGCGAAATCATCACATTCAAATTGAGAATCAATAATTCACAAAAAAAACGTAATAGGCTTTTGTGTAAAAGTCAGATCAAAAGGGCTTTTGGCCCGACCAGTCGATAGAGCATATCGAGGTTTCTACGTATGTATATTTTTATAATAAAAGAGTACAGAATTGTAGAAAACTCAAGTCATGTGTGAATACAAAATGAATCACATGTGCTGAGTACTGTATAGCATCAACCTTGCCCTTGCACAGAGCATGATACATTTTTTTGTGAATTATTGATTCTCAATTTGAATGTGATGATTTCGCCTAAGATTAAAAACAAAGTTTATGATGTCGTCAGATCTTGACTGATAGTTAAAAAAAACTCAATATGCTCTATCGACTGGTCAGATCAAAAATTGAGTTTTTAAGAAAATCTCTGATTTTTCAGAGCTCGATTTTTCTGTAAAATCGATAGTTGAAGATGTATGAGCATGATCATATTCGAAAGTCAATATCGTAGATTAAAATATGTCTCTATAACTTTTACACAGAGAGCGAGTGAAGAAGTGAAATTGTTCTCTCATGAGTTAGATGGGCCGATTACTATCTGTTACTTTCATTTCTATTCAATTAAGTCAAATAATAAGTATTGTTGTACTTGTGCTTGTTATCTAACACAGTCGAGTCCCGTCTTTTGCAATTTTAAATTTTTTTTACTTTTTGTATGATACGTCCTTCTGGATTCATACACAACCATAGACCCGACTGATAATTTTGCACTTGTACACGACTATAGGCTCCAACACTTCGAAATCCAAATATAGCTAGAAATAGAAAAACAGTATTATATTGACTCGATAATCATGTTAAATTTCTATTTAATGTACTTGATGAATCTTGTCGATTTAATACAACCTACAAAATAAACAAATAGACATAATATTACTGATTTTACTTCAATAATTTGAAAATATGTTTATTTACTGTTCGTTTTGGTTTGGTATTTGATACTCTTAAATAGATTGATCCAGGCAAAATGTTGCAGTGAAATACAATTCGATAATATCGAAAAATTGGTAATTGTGTACCAATAGGTTGTTTATGAATAAAACTAACTAATGATGTTTTTCTATAACGATGATCAACTAATTTGTATTGTATATAAGAAGAATCAGAAGAGATTGATGATGAGTTAACGTTGACGGGTTGTTTTGAATAGAGTGGTAATGACTAAAATATAACTATGTAAACTAATAACAGCATAGAAAACCTTAATTTCAAAAATACGTTGTATCGCATATTTAGATAACCAGAAGAGGACTTCAAAACAATCATGAGTGTGTCAACAGTACTCTATCTATTGCGTGTGGTCAACAGAAATTAACATCAATGCTGATTTTGTCCGTTGTCTATTTCAAGCAAATATTAATCCTCAGTACGACTAGTTTTCATGTACAAATTTAGAATTGTACTTTTTGTTGTACTTTCAGTACAAACAGGTGACTTTCACTGAATAAAGTATGAGAAATGTGACATGATATTGATCTTGATAAAATTTAAAATTAAAGAAGAAAAAAGATAAAACCATCAGCATTCTGCGATGTAGAATTGTGATAATCATCGATTTTTATATTCTCTTATATGCACTAGAGTTTTTTCGACCATACATTCATTTGTAGAATAAAAACTGATTAAATTATCATGAATCATCCACTTTAAAATCAGTGTTTATCATACATCCTGTAGTTCGTTCTAAAATTATAATTCTCAGAAAATGTTTCGACCATTGATATTTGTAATCATAGTTATAACATCAAAATTAGCTTGACAGTGAATCGTAAAAATACATTGCTCTCTCTAATAATAAAATTATATAATTGTCGGAAGTAAGCGGAGGAAGCGACACAATTCATTAATAAATGACTCTTGAAAAACATATCAATATATGTAACGAAAAGGAATTTTACTACCACTCAAATATACCATGTCAAGTATCATCTCTTGAAAAACATAATTTGGATATATGTACACGACAAAACAACATTTTTTTTCTTTTTGTCATTATTAGATCAATTTTGCATAAGTAAATGTTATAGTCTCTCTCTCTCTCTTACAAAGACATTCTTATGTACGTACAGAAAAGTTAGTTAAAACAATATTACTATTGCCATTGAATTAAAGCCATAGAATAACAAAAACGGAAAATCTAAAGTCATATTTGTTTACGTAAATATACATCAAATACTCACACTTAATAATAGTAGAAGAAGATACCCTACGTGTGTATGTGTACGTGAGAGAGAGAGAGAGAAAATATATAAAAGTGAAAGAATGTTTAGTGAAAGAAATTATTTGAATACCACACCTGTGACAGAAGCGATGACGAATTTCTTTTTTCCATTTCTCGCTGTTTTTGTCAATTTCTATTTATGTTGGATTTTGATGAGTTCAAACAATATAAGTATTATGTGCACAGTTTGTACAAACAAACAAATAAACAAACAGACAGTTAATTTTTCTTTTCAAAAGATGAAAATCGAGGAAAATAGTTTAATTATAGAAGAGCCATATGTCCACTTAACTAAACTTTATCGTGTGCATACGTATACTCAATTATGAAAACTCTCTCTTTTTGTGTAACACTTTTTATTGTTGAAAATGATCGTAAAAGGTCGAAATATCCAACTATGTTCTAAAATAAACAAATTCATTATGAAATATTTTTACACGGTTGTATTCATAATATGCTTTATGAATAATATGATTATGATAGTTTTCAATCTTAGATTATTTGAGACTTATTAGAATTTCGATTCATTATTGTCAATTTTAATAATCATTAAATGAGAAGTTAATGCTGAAAAATGGTAGAAAGATGAAAAGAGATAGATCGCCTTTTAACAGATTAGTCCTCATTCTCAACAATAAAATATGTTCGATTTTCCAAGCTTCAATAGAATCATTATTAATTGCGTAAAGCATATCAAATATGTTAGTTTAAAATTTCATCTTTTATTCGTGCACATATAATTGTTTTCAAAATCATTAGTAAAAATGACCATTGTAAAAATAGCCTCTATTATAATGAAAATTAGTTTTTCAATGAAAACTATCATATAGTAGGAAAAAAAAGTACTATAGCAGTATGAGATGATAATAATAATAATAACAATAATAATAATAATAATGATAATCCTTTTTGTAAAAAAAAGATAAAACTATTTATTATGTCAAGGTATAAATAGGATAAAATAATGATGCACATTTATTTTATTGTCGTTCTTATTGCCAGCATGTGAGACGAATATGAGTCAATATATTCGTATATTCATTGTTTTCTCTCACTTAATCTACTTTATAACTTGTTCAATAACATTTGTTGTTTAATATATAGTTTTAAACATTTCTAATTACTTTATAATGAACATCACTTTCTTCATTAATGTACAATACTTTCTTATCTAAATATATTTAGAAGAAATCGACATTTTTTCACATTATCTTATAGAGTGCTGAATAATAATAAAAAAATGAAATATTTCTTTGTTAATTCAACATATTATATTCTTTTGATATAAAGATCTTTTGAGTTCTTGTTTTGCAAGTTGACATTGATTTTAACTAGTTTTTTATAAAATTTTTCTTTTTTGTTTTTTTTTTAAAGTCAATCTGTTTTTTAAAAAGTCAATCTGTTTTTTATAAATTCAATCTAGTATTCTTTTTATTATTTTGAAAAATTTTAAGAAAATCTTTTTGTATCTCAATTATTTCCAGGTAAATAAATATACCTGAAACAATTACTAAAGATTTCTTCTTACTACGATATGATATCTCACTATACATGCTCAGACACATAATCAAATAAAAAATAGAACAAAAAATGAAAAATGATATCATCTAGAGTATATATGCATACACACACACACAAACACACAAATGTTTTTATTATTATTATGATTACTGGAGAAGGAAAAAAATCTTCAGTAGAAAAATTGTATATACATATATGTATATAAGAATAGTTTCAAGTTATATAAGAATAAACAGGTTTTAAAAACAATGAATACAAGTCTATTTAAATAAATTGTTGAATACTAAACATTAACAATACAATAACTATTTAGTCTTATGATTTAATCTCAACTAACGATTCTAATAGTATACAGTCAATTATAATAGAATATCGCGATTGAAATATTGAATTTTACATCTAGTACGATAGTTTATGATAATTTTACCTATTTGATGATAGCAAAACGTATAGAACATATGATAACTATTTTTTGAATAGTTAGTTAACTAAGATTTTTCAAAATAGAAATACTCAATAATGTCTATATTTAGAACAGGCAAATGACTATCAAAAATGCATGGTGTGTGTGTATATATGTGTATTCAATAATCAAAGTTTTGATAACTTTTTTTAACAAGTTCTCTATTCAAAACAGTTATTTGATTTACTTTTTACTCTTAAAATGATATTATTTTCATTTTAACTATACTGTGAAATTGTATGATAAAAACAAGTCTATAATCTAATAAAAACATATTAGTATACATGTCATTTAGCAGACACAAATGATACACATACAACCTTTTCACTTTAGAGAAACGGTGGCAAAAAAAACTTTTCTATTTTTATTTACTGTCGCAAAAAAGAAAAGAAAATTATTTGTCTCTATTTTTACAATCTATACGATGAAAAAACATCATAAAACATACAGAAACATAGTATCTAATCTGAGTTCGATTTCACCGTCACTAAATTAAAATGAAAGATAATGAATTCTTTAAAAAATTCTGTAGGAAATGATATCATTTTCACGTTCAACAAGAAAAAACAAAAAAATTGTTTTTTTTTTAAATGTTTCAATATGCCATTAATCTTTTAAAGTATTTTTCAATGATTTGTGTTATTTTAGTTTAATTATGAATTTGAATATTCTTAATTCAATTTTATAATATACATTTTAATCAATAAAAAAAAAACCTTCTTATTTTTTAAACAACCGATTTGTTTTGAAAAAGAATTCAAAAATATTATTGTTCAGTGTATGTGAAAAATCGAATCTTTCCAAATAATATATAATATTTGTCTTCTTTTCACAAAAACTTAATAATCATATACGTCTCTCCATATGCAAGACACACACACACACACACACACACACAAATACAAAGCGGAGGCCGAAGAAAAACGAAATAGTCACAAGTCAGGATCAAACGTATTCGCCCTTTTATTCAAAGTGGGCAGCACGTCATATATCGTTCAAAAAATTGATTTATTTTCTTACAATACATTTGAGATAGATAATCTGAATCAGAGAGTATAATTTGAAAAGGTTTATGATCAAATCCCACTAAATATAATCATGACTCAGATAGTGACTTAGAACAATAATAATAAAAATAATATATCTACGAAATTTGTATGTACTACGCCTGTTTCTTCGAGCAAAAACAAAATAAAACAAAACAAAACTCAATGCCCTATAATGTAGAAAATAAATTCATTTTTTTACCTGATAAATGTAAAATAAATTTATTTCAATAAAGACAATGTTTAATAATATCAACGATATCACTTTTGCCATAAATGGCAAAATCCATAAGTACTAATTATCATATTATATTTAAAGAAAATAGAAGAATCAGATTATTTTATTAATAATTTTAATAATATTTTTGTCGATGATATAATAATTATAAATTTAATAATATGTTATATGAGTTCATGTAAAATATATGAACGTTATTTTTAAACAAAATTCAATATATATCTCGTTGAGTTTTTGTCTGTAATTAGTGTGTATGTCAAAATAATATATATTATCAAGAGAAAGAGAATTAGAGAGAAAGGAAGAATTAAAGGAAAATCAGTAACAATTTGTCTCTCTATTTATGAGAAAATAAAGAATAAAGGAAGAAAAACGGAGGAGAAGAAACAAAAACGAACAACAGTCCAGTTCATTATTGTATACATACACACGATAATCAAGCTCTCGTTCTTGTTCTTTTCTTTTCATTTTTTACATCATATGCATTCTCTACATTTTTCGTTTTTATTTTTTATTTTTTTTTGTTTTGTTTTTCCTATGTATATATATAGTCTCTATTCTTTTTATTATTTTTTTTAAATCATTTCTCCTTCATTTGTCACACTTGATTTTTATTCTGTACAGAAGAAAGGTGTTATGCTTTTTTCTTTTCAGTTCGTTTTAGCTAGAGAAAAAGAGAAACGAAACAAAAATCCTATAAAAACAATTTTTGTCATTTTTATTGTCTTAATCAAAACTATG